TGAAGCTTTATATGTATTGATAATAAACCTGTAGTATGCTTAAATTAAATGGTATATGCATTAATGTGGAGGCTAACATAGTTTATAGAAATTGCTCTTTATGTGAATACCTGTTAGTTTTTTTCTTCTTTCTTTACATGAACACATTTTTATGATTTTTATTTTTTTAAAAGCTCCAGTGCAATCTTACCAGCCCATCTCCCCCGGGCAGCCCGGATGGATCTGCAGCCAGAATGAGGAGCCAGAGGCCTTTGAAGAGATCCAGCAGGACCAAAGCCAGACACACAGCGAACAACATGCGCTCATAAAACCAGAAAAGCCAGAATACTCTCCGGATACTTACCGGGAATCTGTAGCTTTGCCATCTAAAGCTAACAACAACGAGAGCTCACACATGTGCCTCAACCACACTGACACAAATCCCACCGAGGATGAGATGACAAACTGCCAGTTTCCATCGAAAATCAAAGTAGAATTCATGAACTCCAACTTGTGTTCGGGTGACGCCATCGAAAGCAATGAAGACGCATATCAGAGCTGGTCGCCACACAGTCCAGAAATCCCTTCGGACCACTACAGAGAACAAAACCCAAACCAGCCAACGTACAACAGCAGTGAAGCTGCTCTGACATTATCTCAGCACAGCAGCTCATCTCATGATGCCGGTCACGTTTCATATCACAACATACTCTGTACCAACAGAAAACACTGTAACAGTAAATGCTGTGAAATGCAAAAGAGGACAATCGCCAAATCCAGCCCTGTATGGAAGTATTTTTCTCTAAAAGAGGGAGACTGTAGCAAAGCGGTGTGCCTTATGTGTAGGGCCGTCATATCACGCGGTCGCAAAGAGTACACCACATCAGCCCTTCTAAAGCACCTTCGGATGAAACATGGTAAATGTTGACTTTAATCATCTTTTATATACAATACATGTGCTGTAGTACAATATTTACCATGCCTGAATGATCAAATAAGAGGAGAGCAAGATGTTATCTTTGTGTTGTTCCTGCAGGAAATGCGCTAATCTTTGGCAGCTCTAAGAAGAGGCGAATGAAAGAGATTACAAGAAAGATTGTGTGAAAACCACTGTCAGTCAGCATGGCTAATGCGCATCATGGGCAACCGTTGAGTGCTTTTATACTAAATGTTTCATCAAAATCAACATCGTATGTAGTGGGTTTCCGAAATGTTTTGTAATGTTAGCCATTGTTTATATGGTTTATACAAGTCCTACAGCTTGGAAAAACCATCAGTCTTGATTACACTGGTGCAAACGATGACATGACTATTGTAAACTGTGATTCTGCACTAAATACACTGAGATTTGACATTAGAAAGGGTGCCACACAATCGACAAATCTCTGGCAGTAAACTGATGCCCCATTTAGTTTTACACGTGCAGACTTTTGCAGAAAATTGAAAGAGATCTTGTGTGAACAGGCCCTTTTTAGAAGTACTGGAATTTTTGGCAATTTTTCTGAATGAGTAGTTGTAAAATTTTTAAGTAAATTGCCTGAATTGTGGAGTAGGGTTTGTCTGCGGACTGTAGGATGGGCGGAGCATTAGGGGCATAACTTGTAATACGTTAGAAGCGTAAAATTATGTTGTCAGGAAAATGGCGCTGTACATCCGTTATTAACATCTACACCCAATCCACACCTAAACCCAACCATCACAGTTATTAACGTCTATATCTACCACAACCCTAAACCCAACCATCATTATAAATGTCTACACCTTCCCCTACGCTAAACCCAACCATCACAGTTATTAACGTCTACATCTTCACCAAACTTAAACCCAACCATGATAGTTATTAATGTCTACACCTTCCTCAACGCTAAACCCAACCATCACAGTTATTAAATACACAGTATTTTGGATACCCAAGCTGTGTATTTTACATTGGTTCATTTTCATATTTTTCATATGACACATTTACAAGTTATAGCTCAAATGAAAGCTCTTGCCGGTGCTCATACGGTTCTAGCGTTCTTTTTAATGAATTATATTCACATATCAAACAGTTGTTGAATGAATCGCAGTGTTTCCATGGCGCAGAAGAGAAAACAATACATTTATGATCACTAAGCAGCCCCAGATAGCACAGACAGCTGTCATCTGTCATCTGCCATTTCTCCTCTGTTTTTGAGGTGTTATGCATAAGTAATCCTTTTATATGTCTGACGTGGTCCAAACACAGTGAATTATGTTTGATCAAACAAAAGAATAGTGAAATATGAAAACAATGATCGGTCCCTGTGGCTTGTACAGCACCTCTCATCAGTTGGAATACAATAACTTTTGCATAGATTATGGTAGAGACATGTTTTTTTTTCCTATGATACAGACATGTGCAGGAACCACCTAAATTAATTACAGCAAGCTAGACCAAGGTACACTTTCAAATTTAAGTTTATAAAAAAAATACAAAAAGCACCTCTTTTTTTTTTTTTTTTTTTAGCCGTTTATTATAACACAGACAACATATACAGTTATTTTAAACGCTTTCAATAGTGTTTTATGAAAATGCAAAGGGAAAATGCAAAAAATGTAAAGTTTTCTTTAAAATGATACCAAATTTTTGCATTTACACCTCTGCATGTGGATTTGGGAAGCTTTTAAATCTGGGTAGGAAAAATCCAGTCGGAAATCCCAAAATAACAGCAGAGTTTAACTGGTTAACGTCTATACCTACCACAACTCTAAACCCAACCATCCTTATAAACGTCTACACCTTCCCCAACGCTAAACCCAACCATCAGTTATTAACGTCTACATCTTCACCAAACTTGAACACAACCATCATAGTTATTAATGTCTACACCTTCCTCAACGCTAAACCCAACCATCACAGTTAGTAACATACAGTCGAGAGTTGCGGAGGCTTTCATACTTGACGCGCATCACAGTTATTAACGTCTATACCTACCACAACCCTAAACCCAACCAGTGGGATCTTGAAAACTGTGAGTTACGCCTCTAACTTACTACAAGTTACCCCCTTCATGTTCTGCCCCCATCTTGCAGTCCGCAAACACACTTGGAGTTTTGCACATTTTTACAATTTACTGGTAAAGTTGTTACAATAATTTATACAGTAATTTACCATTATTACTGTGTGAAAGGGGCTACAGTATTAGTCTATAAGTGCTGTAACTGGTGGTTGGATGTTGATTTCAGCATTGTTTTGTTTAAAAAACAATATTACATTGTCAAATTTGGGGCATGATTAATAGTAAATAAATCTGTAATAAAAGAGATTACAGATACTTTACAGTGTTTACCACCCCTCTAAAAGCTTCGAAATTTGGGATTTTGCCCTTTTATATGACATTTTTTAAATAAAAATGTAAACATTGAGAACATTTTTGTTGTTTTAGTCTTGTATTTATAGACCTAAATGTGAATAAAAGAGCTTTATTTATGAGTAAATAAACCACAAGCATTGTACTGTGTAGTAGGTCATGATAATGAGAAACATTTTCCTAATAACTTATGACATGCTAATAATTTATTGTAGCTATGACTTTCAGAGTCAGAAAATATACAGTTTGTACAGTATAAAAATCATTATGCCTTTGGGAACTGTGCCATCAATGAAGAAATAGTCAAACAAGTTTATTTGTGAGTTAAAAAAGCCAGAGCCTAGCAAGAGATTACCTTGTAATAATTATTTGTGCAATGCTAGTAATAATTTCCTAATATTATGACTTGCAGAATAATAACTAATAATCAATCCATGATCAAATAACACCATCGTAATCAGCATTTCATGAGAAGAAGATGCTTTCTTGAAACAATGGCTTGTTTCTGACAATAGTTACCCATAATAATGAGTCACCTTCTCATGATAAGGGATAGGATTTCAATAATAACCACAGACCTTGAGATTGTTTCTCATAATAAAGAGGAAATTTTGTCATAATTTCTTATTATGGAAACCTAATCCATTATTAAGAGAAACTTTGTCAACATGACATCGTTTCTCATAATAAATGGATATGACTTGGTTTATCAAAATAAGACTTTCTTACAATCATAGTCATACTGAAAAAGTCATATATGACTCAGAGATAACGGCAAATAACCACGTCATAGGAGTTACAAGAAAGTGTCTCAAACTATCCTAATCTATTATTTATAACAAGAAAATTTCACACTGAGATATGAGAATGTATCTCATCATAGTGACTCAGAATAATAATAATGAGGCAGAAATGGGCCTTCGTATATTTTCATAAGTCATTCAGGCAGTTTAACAAACCTTGGAAATGAAGATTTTAACCATTGTTTATAAAACAAAATATCCACTGTGGTCAGCAAATAATCATTTACTCACCCTTGTTCAAAACTGACTTCCATAGTATATGTTCTTCCTACTATGGATGTCAATGTTTACTGGATTCTAACATTCTTCAAAATATCTTGTTCTTGTTCAACAGAAGAAAGAAACTTAATTTGGGACTACTTGATGGAGAGTAATTAGTGAGAACAATATGCCTTTAAACAGATAGAAACAAATTATGGATAATTTATTTATGATTTTGTGCTTATTATGGCATCTGTGGTAATGTTAAGTAACGTTATATTGTATCTTGACCAAAATTATGGTTACAGGAAAGTATTGGTAACCTTTATCCACTGCCTTCCTTGCAATGTTATTAAGAGGATAGTTCACCAAAACAAGAAGAAAATTCTGTCAACATTTACTCTCACTTCTTCAAAACCTGTTTCTCTTGCTTTTTTTCTGGAAATCTGGAACCGTTGACTTTCGTGGTATTTGTTTTCCCTACTACATAGATGTTGATAAGTTTTTCAGCTTTCTTCAAAATATCTTTTGTGTTCAATAGAAGAAAAAAAAACTCGGATCATAAACACTTTAGGATAAGTAAATCTTCATTTTTAAATTAACTATCCCATACAGCGTTATCATGAAGTAAAAACGATATTTTCTGTACTTACTACTCCTCTCCTGTGGCTGGCGCTGAATCACAGCTCAAGTCGGTTTGTTTCTGTGGTTAAAGAGGAACATATACGTGGTCATATGACCGTAGAGAAGAGTGTTTACATTGTGCCTTACTGTACGCCGAAAATAAAATAGTGGTAATTAAAAAAAAAAACCTCTTCAAACCGTCAGCAAAATGACAAAGCTGGAGGTCATCAACACGTTTCTGACGGAGCGCCTAATGGCGGCGCTGAATGAAATCATGGACATGATCGGCGGGACTGTCCTGCAGTATGAGAAAGAGCTGGACAGCGTGCAAAAGGACAACGAGTATCTGAGACGGAGACTCAAAGAGATCGAGAAAATCGTCGAGTCGACTGGTACATCATCGTCTTTTTTGTAGAATATAATGCATTTCTGCCATAGACTGCGGTTTATTTACTTTTCTCACATTACCATGGAAACCATAGTTTCCGCTCACACACAATGGTGGTAACATTGAGGTAAAGTTGCTTATATATAGTCGGACTTTCTCCATAATAATATACTTTCATTAAAATATTATGTGAAAATTCTAAATAGGGAAATCGTATTAGCAGCCAATGACGTTCAAAGTAATCTTACAACATTGTTCACAGTCAGTTAAACCAGTTTCCACTCACACACCATATTTAGCGTACATCAAAGACTATTTGGTTGCATTGAGGTCAAGTTGTTTATATACATTCGGACTTTCTCCACAATAAAATAATATCAGAGAAGTATTATTTGAAAGTTGTAAACAGTACATTCATATTAGCAGTCAATGACGTTCAAAGTAACGTTACAACATTGTTAACATTCAATTAAACAGTACTAATGTTGTTTTGAAGTCATAATTGCATGCGATTTCAGACCAAATATTTAAAGCAACTAGGGTGGTCAACAATATAACGGTAGAAACCGTTAAAATGAACTAACATGTGAAAATAAACCCAACTTTACCTCAATCATGGTTATCCATCGATATACACGACGGTTACCCACATAAATACAATTGTTATAGTGTAAATACCACCGTGGCTTTGAAGTTTTAAGTTTACTATAGTATAGTGTATTATTATTTATATTTTTAGCATGCCAACTGTAAAATAGTTTTAGTGTAAAATAATAAAGTAGTATTAACTATGTAGAATTGTTGAACTGTAATATTTACTGTGATATAAGTTTTTACTACTGTAAACTTTGATGTGCGTTATTGTAGCATAATATATAGTATATTATATATATAGTAGTATAGTATATATGGTATATTATTATTTGGTAGTATAGCATATATGGTATATTATGTGGTAGTATAGTGTATGGTATATTATATATAGTAGTATAGTGTTATATATAGTAGTATAGTATATGGTTTATTATATATAGTAGTATAGTATATGTGGTATATTACGTAGTAGTATAGTATATATAGTATATTATATATAGTAGTATATTATATATGGTATAGTATATTTAGTAGTACAGTATTGGGTAATTTGTTGTATTACCACAGGAACTATAGAACAGCCTTAATGAAAGTTAATAGAAAAGCACTTTTAATGAAAGCGCTTTACTATAGTATGGTTTAATATCACAATAATACTATAAGTTACTACAGATTTTTTTTTGTTGGCACAGAAAAAAGAATCAGCCACCTATAACATAAAAACAATGCACTGATGACAAGACTTTTATTTGTGCAATATGACTCTTATTAATTTGTTCTGATGCAATATGTCCTTAAACCATTTCTATTGCTTTTTATTCCTCAGGAGGTTATTAACTACTACTATTTTTTCTAGAAAGAATTATATGTGAATGTTGATTCTGTTTTTTGTTGTAAGAGCAGTTATTGAGGTTGATTTACAATCTAATACATTAAAATATTGGTATTTATAAATAGTATTTAATAATAATATTGAAATTGCCTCTGACGTTTATTTTAAATAACATATATTAAGATATTTGTAGTCTAAATCATTTACACTGGAGCATTTTTTAATTCAAATTTTAATGAAATCTTTTTAAACTTGGGCATGCTTTAAAGCTGATATATTTGAAAATGCATTAGTTTTAGTTAAGACTTGAAAGACTATTGATGAACTGACCAGATGAAATCATTATATGAAGCTGAGTCTGTAAACATCACAAACCAAGTTGTTTTGTGTTTAAAATACATCTAGTAGAGGTCTGCTTAAACAAAGTAGGGGTCACAGTGCAGGGGTCACAGTGAAAAGCCAGTTGATCACAGTTGATTAGCCTTCAAATACACAGATTAAAAAGAATTGACGTGTAGTCAGTCATTCCTGTGTCTTTAATAACTTGTCTATTTTTAGACTATATTTAGATGTCCATTAGATTTTTTTGGAGAGCCCAAATTGAACTTTAATTTTATTTTAGCCATATTTTAGCATTTGTTAAATGATTTTCTTCCCCCCATCTGGCCTCCTCAAACCTTTTATCTTTTACAGCTCCACCCATCTCAACCCCTGCACCATCATCTCCACCTGCTCATCTAAAGTGGACTTCTAGCACCGAAACAGAAACAGTTCCTACAGAGATCTATCAGAACCAGGTACAGAGCGAACAGCTCACCAACACAAAAGTAGAAGAGTTCTCCAGCCATATGCTTCTCGTGACCGAATCGGAGATTACTTTACCTGCTCCTGCAATCCCAAACACACTAGCACAAACAAACGAAGACTTTGAAACGTGCGCTTTAGACAAATATCCTTGTGACGTTAAAACCGAGCCTCCTGAAAGTCTCCATTCACCGTCCACAAACATCTACAGTCCATTACCACATTGCACATCTCAGCTACCAACTACTACTGATATCCTTCACGAGGCTAATCCTGAAGTTTTTAACACATCCAATTCCACCGATTCGGAATTAGCTCAATGTAGGAATGTAAAGGCTAAATCCACGCCAGAATCCATCAGTAAACACAGCCCAAATGCAAGCAAGACCATGTATCCTGAGTCAGGCATCAGCTACAACAACACTCATCAAAACACAGACTCGGGATCAGTCAGGAATGACGCTGTTAGCAGTAACGGTCATCTGGGGATTGCAAACATTGCGGTCAACTCTCTACGCCACATGCCGTTAGTCAGACAGAATCGTGGAAGAGGAAGAAACAAAGGTCCTGGGACGCACGCATGTCCTCAGTGTGGAAAACTGTTCCCTCATCATTCCCGGCTAAAGGTGCACATGCTCATCCATACAGGAGAGAAGCCGTACGTCTGCGGCCAGTGTGGAAAACGCTTCAACAACGATGGGACTCTGAGGAACCACAGTCGTGTGCATCTGCAGCTGCGTCTGTTTGACTGTCCCGTGTGCGCGCGCAGCTTTAAGGATGCCTACACTTGTCGAAATCACATGCGTGTTCATAGTAGGTGAGAGAGCGACGTGTCTGCCTCAGAAAGGCTAACTGACTCGTTTAATCCCACATTTTTTTCTTGAAATTTGAAAATAAACATTTTACTGATTAAGGCAGTGTTTCTCAACCACGTTCCTGGAGGACTACCAGCACTGCACATTTTCCATGTCTCCTTAACCGAACACACCAGATTCTGATCATCAGCAGAGACTATAAAATCTGCAATGAGTGTGGACAGACATAGAAGTCATCCGAAACATGCAGTGCTGTTGGTCCACAAGGAACATAGTTGGGATTGGAGAAACACTGGATTAGGACATTCACACTGAACATGTCTGTGTGTCTAGAAATGTGAGATGCAGTGCTCAGGAATGTTTTTTTTAAAAGGAACCTCTTCTTTCAGGTTAACATCAGATAGAACTGTTGTCATGTCAACTTGCTACTGTAAACCAGAGCCATAGAGAGAGAGAGAGCTGCGTCAACAGAAGTCCAAACTGTTTAATTGTCACGTCATTCATGTAGACTCAAACAGTTTCAGGAAGTGTTTTGTGATCAATTCAGTAATGTTAGATAATATTTTAACATATCCACAATCTTGTTTTTAGAAACTTTGATTTGCATGAGCCACTATACGCTTATTTGACGCGACCGCCATTTTAAAGAACCAAAGCGAGGCTGCGGTGGGAAGTATAGGACCAGCTCTGTAAACATTGCAGTAACATACTGTGGACTACAAACCTCCAGCTGTTGCAAAGATTTAAAAATGCAGGAATGGTGTAAACATCACAATAATATAATTCAGTAAGTTTATTTTAAACAATAAAAAATAATTGAGCATCAAACAACATCGCTATCTCTGTAAGAGTAATATGCTCAAGTGTCCTCCTAGGCTTCAGTTCATGGCGGCAGGTAAACACCGTGGGGAGGCCTCCCTGCTTCAGCTTATGTAACCCGGTGAGTAATAAAACACTGCAGTCCGCTGTAGCACACACCCTCGTGTTATGTGTAATAGTGTTGTCCCGGTACTGAAGATTTAAAAACGTCCATTTCCTGCTAACATTCAATCGCCGCTGAGAGCGTTCATAAACAGCGCTGATTTACCATAGTATTCACCAGTTCTCATCAGTTTACCGCTCTTCACCGAGTGCAAACACTCGGAGACTGGAGCGCGAAGCAGCCATGACGATCAGTCGAGTTATCAAGCAGATCGCTCGTCTGTGTTTGTACTCAGTAAACAGCGGAGGGTGAACTGATGACCTCCTCGGCCAATCACAGTCATTTCTGTTGAGCACATGAACACAATGGCAAATAAGCGCTGTTTTAAGAACGGCATCAACAGTGCCTTAAATGTTAGCAGGAAATTGACGGTTTTTCTTTTAATTCAGTATCGTGACTAGTCTAATATAGTGAAAGAATCAGTTCATTAACTTGAGTTTGATAAATGGCATCTAAAACATGTTTGGGAAAGAAAACGTTAGCTTACTAGTGCCATTTCCCTTAACTTAGCTGAAAATAAGCTCTGAAATCCCTTTTTATTTTCACCATTCATCCAGAACGGACCTTCAAGTCACTCGGATGGCAGTGAAATGATAAATTTGTGTCACTTTCTCTTCACTGATAAGATATACAGCCAGATACACAACGTTCCTATGTAACTTCCAACGACACTTTCAAGTTTCTTCCCGCCGCAGCCTCGATTTCGCTTTTAAAAATGGTGTCTGCGTGAAATCAGTCTATTGCTGTTGAAACAACATTCCGTTGGAGTAAGTATACTTGTTGCAACTCTTTCTCTCTATGGCTCTGCTCTAAACTCAAGTTTGCAGTGCTTACCCTGCCCCTGAGCTCATCTGATTGGTCTACAGCTTTGGTACTGATATTGATGAGCATTACAAGTAAAAACTTGACATGTTATCTTAAAACATGGCGTTCTTGTACAAAGTGCTGCAAAAAATAATGGGATTGTACACATTCCTGTTTGCACATAATTAGACACTTTCCAGTTTACTCGCTGAAATTCACTTCATTTGCACACAAAACTCACTTATCAAAAGATACGAAATCACTCTAGTTTCATAGCTAAACAGCTAACATGGATGTTATTAAGAGGGTAGCTGTATTTTATGTGCTATGTCGTGCTGAAAAACGGCGTAGACTCGTTTAATGCCATTTCTGGGTTCAACTGGTACAACTCCTCAAGGAGTTGCGCCTGGATAATGGGCGATACTAGAGCAAACTCCTGATTGGTTAATGCAGTGTGAGCTTTCGTCAAAGTTCAGAATGTTTCAACTCAAGCGTCAGGCGCTAAGTGCGTCAGATACCTGAAATGCTAAATTTGCGCGCTGATCACTTTACTTTGTTGCAAGATGTCCATCACATTTTTACTCTGACTTAACATGTAAATCACTCCTGCTTAACGCTTCATTCATGTCTGGTGAGAATGTCCCACACGTCTATCAAACTTGTGTTTACATAAACAATAGATAAATGTGCTCTGTAATAGGCCTTCCCAGCACACAAACTTCACTTCTTATGATGTTGGTTAAATTAGGTTTACAATAGTGACTGGTAGGAAGACAGAATTGAATTGCTATTCATTATAATATAATTATTATAATACATTTCCACCTCTTACATCATCTAGATGTGCAAGCAGGAAGAACAGGCGCTGTTTCACAGCATGCTGCGGCACAGTTTGGTTCAGGCTATCCTACTCAGTTATACGCAAGTTAAAGGGCACCTAGCCTTTTTACAAGATGTAAGATAAGCCTTTGGAGTCTCCAGAACGTGTCTGTAAAGTTTTATCTCAAAATACCCATCAGATAATTTATTATAGCCTCCAGATAATTTTGGTGCCCACAATTCCCAAATATGTGTCTTCTGCTTCTGCATTACGTCAGATAAACAGCAGTCAGTGATAGAGACAGACACGGATGAAGCTGAAATCCAGCTCATTAGTCAAAAATACTAAGTTTATTTGATGTATTTGTGGTGGAGTTTATTCAAGCCTTTCTGAAATAATGAGTCGCATACAAAGCCTGTTTGCAGTACACACATAAACGCGTTTACTGACACCACATATACCGTTATGATTATAGTGGTTAAGAATGAGATAGTGATTTTATTGTCTTTAATACAAACTAGCTCTGTTTTAAAAACGTTTTAAACTTAAACAACTAATTAAAAAAAAAAACTGAGACTAATGGGACGGCATTAATAAACAAACCAACGGACCAAACACATTCTAAAATGTGGTTTTGGTTATTCTAAAATGCCTCAGCCAAAGTCTGTCATCAAAGCAGTTCAGTATTATTGCATCGCAGTAGAAGAGGCCCATAAATTCCTCTAGTTGTTGCAGAATCCAAATAGAGCTAGATGGGACGACCCGGAATTAAGATGTTTTTCAGAAAGTCACTGCAGAAGAACTGGCACAGTTATAGTGATAAACCAAACCACTTTAAGCGATACTAAACTGCAGTGCAAAACCAAACCGTATGAAAATGCAAAGTGAAAAAGTGGCTCATCTGCTCGTGTGATATTGATACATTTCATTCAAAACAATCTACATTTCTCATTTAAAATGGGTATTTCTTCCCAAAAGAAAAGAAAAAAGTTGGGATTAAACGGGTTAAACAAGTGTTGAGCAACAGGAAAGACTTGTGGGAAGGTTTCCCTGTTGATCTGTGAACATCAGTCAAATTATCTGCTCTATTAGCGGAGACGTCTAAAATGTGCCATGCTGGGAGACTCCCACGGGCAAGATCGAGAGACCGTAACAAGTCACATGATGATTTTCATGTCCTCAGAAAACTCGAGCGCAGTGTGTTTGTGGCGTTGTTAAAATTTATTTCATGTTCCTGTTGTGTGCCCTGTCTTCAGATCAGTAGGATACAACTAAAAAAGTGCCAGTATTGACAGCTGTTTTCTGCTTCTTTTAATATGCTAAATTAAAGAGATTGATTTCAAGCTTTTATGGAGTTTGTAATCTTTTTGAGTTTCTGTTTTGTCAGTTCGAATAAAGGTCCACCCTTTTAAAATGTTACCGCAAGCTCATTTAAAGGGGGAAATTAACAATTGGATATCATTTGGTATCTGCTATCATCTCGTTTGCCATGATCAAAAAAAGCTATATTAGTGTTTCTCATCCACGCTCCTGGAGGACCACCAGCACTGCATGTTTTGGATGTCTTTTTTTTCTGTTACACCCATTACAGGCCTTTCAGTCTCAGCTGATGATCTGAATCAGGTGTGTTTGGTTAAGAAGACATGGACTGTCTGCGGCGATAGCCTAGTGGTTGGTCCATCGACACATGCGTCAACACAGGTGCTCGCAGAGACACAAGTTTGATTCCCAGCTCGAGGTCCTTTGCCGATTTCTCCCCTATCTCTGCTCCCCACACTTTCCTGTTTGTAAATCTTCACTGTCCTGTCCATAAAGTTTAAAATTCCATAAAAAACAATAATAATAAAAAAAGAAGACATGGGCTGAATCCGAAATCACATACTTTCATACTATATAGTATGCTAAAACAGTATGCAAGCAAAGTAGCATGTCTGAATTCATAGAATTCGAAAAACAGTATGCGAGAACTTGTAAAATTTCTGAAGTGCACATCTGATGCACGCTACGCTATCCCATGATGCATTTTTGTACATCTGAGTTCCATTGATACTACTCACATTCATACTTTTCTAACGATTTCGGAAGCAGCCATATGGTTCAAAATGATTTTTATATTTATATCAAAATTTATATAAAAACATTAGAATATTAAGTAAAGGTTACATGTTCCTTCAAGACATTTAGTAAATGTCCTACTGTAGATCAATTCAATGTGATGATGTCATTGGCTCATGAACAGTTCCTGCTTGTTATCAAACTATTTGATAACGGTAATAAAAGGCAAATCAATCATAGCTTAATGGTAAAACAGCTTTCATAGCATTATTTATCAATATTTGGCTCTTTTTGGATTCTCGGAAGCTATAGAAATTAAAAATGTGAAACAGGAAATACGTTAGGACCATTGTTTTTGTTTACACTCATCAAAATAGTTTGTAAATATATTAAAACTCCATTTTTGATTAGTTATGGTTATTAAGGAGACTTCCAGTTATGGTGCGCACTGGTTAGTCATGCTAATTTGAGCTGATACCATCGTTCTTCAATTTAATCTTAAAATGGTGAGCATATCGAACTTTTAAATGATATACAATAAAGGAAACACTCCTGCAAGCAACTATGCCGCCAAAAAATATAAAGTCAGGACGACAGCCGACTAGCTAACAGCTAATGAACAGAGTGACGCTGATGGGAAAGTAATGTTTAAGCACTTCATTTTTCTTAATATTTAGATTTTTTGAAATCAGATTGAGGTTCTCCATCAGTTATATTTTGACTTAACCGAAAAACATTGCAACTAATTATCTTTATTAACCACCCAAGCTTTATTAAACATCAATTTGAACTGTTTTGACTTTTTTTTGGCTCAGGGTCACATTTTCTCACCCTTGTGTTCCTCCAAATCTGCATGTCATTTCTTCTTTTGTTGTTGTTGAACGCTTTATATTTTGAAGAATTTCAGTAGTCAAAGAGTTTTAGGTCAACATTTTTTGTCCATACTGAAATTGGCTGCTAATGGAAACTTGCATTCTTAAAAGCATTTTCATTAATATTTCCACAGAAGAAAGGCACTCAGTTATGGAAGTAAAAAAGGTTGACTAAATAATTTTGTGTAAATAAATTTGTTTTTATATATGCTTAAACAATTCAGGCGGGGTTTGACACTGTTGTAAAGTCACAGTCTATACTGACATTTTTATCACAAGTGCTGTTTAACAGAGAGAAGATTTTTCAGCATAATTATTTTAATAACTAATTCCTAATGAGTAATTTATTTTGTATTTCTCATGATGACAGAATATATAATTTTGCTAGTTATTTTGAAAGTTACTAATACCTTAAATTGCCATTTAAAGTTGAAGTTTACTAGGCATGTCTGGTTAATTAGGAAAGTGAATGGGCAACTGTGGTTGGTTCTGTAGACAAAGAAAGAAAAACCATTTCTAAAGGGGGCTAATAACATTGGCTTTAGCTGTTTTTACATTTCAAAACCTATTTATTTATTCCATCCAAACTAAAAGAAAGAATATCATAGGAAATACTGTGAAAAACGTCCTTGCTTTGTTTAACTTGGGAAATATTTGAAAAATAAATACATTTTCTCAGGAGGGCTAATATAAACTGTTTAGTTCCAAGTAGTTTAGGAAAATGAGGGATGTTTCCGCTTGGTGGCGCTGTGGAGTATGTTTAAGAACAGGACACAAAGTGTAACAGCCTTTTACTTCATATTCCTCACTAGATTTATGAACTGATTGCCTGCAATGAACAGATAATTTTTATTTAAATCCTAAAATTTAACTAAAGCTCACTTAGGACACGATAAACTCATTACCCTTCTAAATATGAAAAAAAAATATATATATTTTTAAAGATTTCTTCTATTACAATGACTATGACTCCAGGCCACCCTAAATAATTAACATAACTTTTCCAGTTGTTCTTGATTTACTGCATAAGAATATTGCATTTTAAAATATTATACTCACAGTAATCTAAACTCTTGGCATATCTAGAAAGATTTGCACGCATTATAACCATGCCTATGGTGTTCATCCAGGTCTATAAATTATTTTCACAATTAAAGTATACCTTTAGGTTTTCTAAGACTGTGAGAATCCTGTATCTTAGCTGTTTTTGGTTTAATTTAACTAACAATGAGCAATTTAGTAAAGTATTTATTAGTCTCTGTATGTTTGTTAATAAACACAGTTGTCCATTATTATTTTAAATTAGCCATGTTTCATTAAATAATATTTGAACAGTTCAGTTGCAAATACCTCTGCATTATTCTAAGCATTTTTTTTTCAGGCTACTGTCTATTGGTTCTATTTATTTTTTATTTAAAATGAACTAACTAAACATAAACATTGGAGGAAAACATGCTAATTTTAAACAAAAATTTCAGATGGCACTTCAGAACCCTTCATTTATCCATTATAAAAATTATACATATAAATATAAAAATAAATATATAAAGTTTACACATATTTTTCACATGAAATGTACTAATAAACAAATGTATTATGAAGCGTTATTCTAATTTGAAATAATTAAAGGGCCTAGAGTAAGCCGTGGCCCTGCTGGATGATCAATATTTTAAGACAGAGTTTTGCTGATTAAGAAATTAAAGGAGTAGTTGACATTGAAATGGAAATTTTGCCATCATTTACTCATCTTAAAATTTTTCCAAACTCGTATGACTGACTTCGGTTCAGCACAAAATTAATTCATAAACTGAACATCAACCAAGCAATTAATTACTTCATAAAAACGTAATTTATTTTTTTATTAAAAGCAATTCTATGTCATCTGATGACACAAGGATGAGTAAATGAGTATGTGCAATGCAAATTTTCAGGGCAATTCACTTTTTACATGTAAAACATTGTATCATGTTAAAATCAATAAAAATTCTTTGATTTAATAAAGTATGCATGATAATAGTTTTAGAGTTAAATCGAAATTCCACTAGAGGGGCTCAAAAAAATCAACATGACTAGTTTTTGTTTACAAATACAGTCCAAAACAAACATTAAACAAACAAAACTATCATTTTAATGTACCCCCTCAACACCCCTGTCTATTTAATGCCTTTCCTCCAGTTTCAGAGACAATGCTTAAGTCTATTCCTAGACTAAATTGCATGTTTGAGCTGTCTTAACTAAAAATATCCTGCAGTGACAAACTAAAAATACATCAGCGCCACAGAATAGTTTCAAGATACACACCAGTAATGTGTTCTTCCAAGTCAATTTATTATAAAAGCTACTCAGTTATTTAATTTAATAAAAGCTTAGTCCTGGCTTAAGCTAACCCTGATTGTGAGAACAGAGATTAAAGTTCCTGTGCTTTTGAAAAATCTCTATAAATGAGAAAAGGTCATTTTAAAATGTGACTTAAGGCATAATTATAATGAATATGGGGTTTCAAGCATCAATAAATTAGGGTGAATTATAACTTTCTTTGTTGCATTGTAAGGTATCTTCTTTAAATCATGTTTTTAGATCAAGAAATGACTATCATATATTCTTATGATTTATAGAAGACCATTAACATGTCATTTAGCGTAACAATAGTTTATATACTGGACTAGAAGGCTTGTCAAGCATATTTATAACAAGAATCACCTGAAGACATATTAAAAGATTCTATTTACGGATCGCAAATATTTTTATATGATCATTTTACTTACTTTGTCACTGTTCTTGAAACTACTAGTATTACCAATGTGTCAATAAAAGGTTTTTAATCATTTTAAATATATATTATAAATATTAAAATGATCACTTAATTTAGATCAACATAACTATATTGTTACATTTTTACATGAATACATCTGTTACACAGTGAAAAAATAAATCTGTAATGTTTATAGTAAAAATCCTGCAGGTGTGATTGCCAGAATTTACAAATGAAAAATTTTGGAAATACATCCAAAACATTTACGGTAAAATCGTAAACCACGAAATTTGGAGATTTCTTTTATTTAACAGTAAAACTCTAGCAACCAGGTGCCATTGTCAGAATTTTACTGTTAAAATGAATTTGCTATTTTAACAGTGAACTACAATGTTTAATTTATCTGTTAATACATCAAGGTTATAAAGTACTAACATTGACACAATGTAGCTTTCTTACAAAAGACAAAAACCCAATCAAAAGACAAAAACACAAACCAGACCAAAAGACAAGCAAAAGCAGGGGGTGACGAGAAAGTCCTATGAAGAACCAATGCTCATTTTCCCACAAGGAGAGAAACGCACAAATATTTAGAAGGCACTCGGGTGTCATTTACACAAATAGCTTCATAGTAACACACACGAAACTGAAGTAATGCAACAACTAAAAGAACCACAGCAAGGTCAACAGAAAAGCATAAAATATATACATACATTACCTGACAAAAGTGTTGTCGCCCATCCAAGTTTTAGGAACAACCAATAATAACTTGACTTCTAGTTGATCGTTTGGCATCAGAAGCGGCTTATATGAAAGGCAAAGGCCTCTAGTTAAGACAGTAAGGTCTGACTTTGCTTAGACAAAAGTCTTGTTACTTAACAGAAATTATGTACAGTGTAGAATATAAAGCCATGCTGCAGTGGTAGAAGAATGAATATTGTGTATGACTCACATGAGCTTGGACGACTGCTCATAAAGTCATCTGGAATGGCAAAGAAAGCGTTCTTGCAGGATTCCCAGAGTTCATCAAGATTCTTTGGATTCATCTTCAATGCCTCCTACATCTTACCCCAGACATACTCAATAATGTTCATTTCTGGTGACTGGGCTGGCCAATCCTGGAGCACCTTGACCTTCTTTGATGTGGAGGCTGAAGTTTGAGAAGGAGCGCTATCCTGCTGAAGAATTTGCCCTCTGCTGTGGTTTGTAATGTAATGGGCAGCACAAATGTCTTGATACCTCAGGCTGTTGATGTTGCCATCCACTCTGCAGATCACTTGCACACCACCATACTGAATGTAACCCCAAACCATGATTTTTCCTTCACCAAACTTGACTGATTTCTTTGAGAATCTTGGGTCCATGTGGGTTCCAGTAGGTCTTCTGCAGTATTTGTGATGATTGGGATGCAGCTCAACAGATGATTCATCTGAAAAATCCACCTTCTGCCACTTTGCCCTTACAACTGGGATCAACGACAAGACTTTTATCAGGTAGTGTATATATATAAATATATATATTAGATAATAACTGAATAATAAATATAATAAATAGTTTGATTTTCTTTAAAGAAGCTTACTGTTTACCAGGTTATATTTTTACTGTAGCATTTCTAAGAGTTAAAATGACGGACATTTTTGTACAGAGCACTGAATGACGATGGAACCTTATTTCAACATATTTTGACATTTTATTTTCAGAAGGTTAATTTGAAACATTAAAGTAGACAGTATAAGTGCATTTGAAATGCTTTTGTATGTCTGTACATTCATTTTTTAAATATAAATGCAGAAAGCAAAGTTTAAAATGATGGTAAATGTATTTAAAAAGCAATCCCTTATGGAATACACCAGACTGACGCCTCAACTAATCAGCTCCAAGACCCGAAATGGGTACATGGGATAAGGAAGACATACAAAATATGTACTGTTGGTGTCCTGAGCGAGGCACAGAGACACTGACACATTCACCTCAGTGCAGTGTGCTGTTAAGGGGTCATCTAATTGCCATTTACTCATCGAACACATAATCATCCAGATGCACCCTGAAGAAGCACAGAATCAGTGCAATGGTTTTTCATGAGGAAAGGGTGATATTAGCTGAGCCTGGAGTCCCTTAAAGAGAGTTTCTTATTGGTTACTGGCCCAAAAAAAAGGACTAATCCATAATTGCTAAAATAACAGTGTAATCACTCCCACAATGCAGCCTTTGTGAATGAGATCATGCTTATTTGTTCGTGGAGTGATTATGAATTGTACGATTTTCTGTGCTCGTTGGAAGAAGATACAGGAAAACGACACACATCTTAAATAGCAATGCATTTCAAATGTATTTTCAATTTGTACATAAGCACTTCATATAAATGTAAACCACAAACCCTCAAGAGTATACAGCACTTTTTTTTTGGTACAAAACAACCAGACGACACACACGCGAACGCATGCAGACGCACTCCGGATAGTCCTAGTATATGGCACATACAAACAATTGATTCCAAAAATATATATCGAGTAATTAACGTATGCAATATCAAATCGTAGCATGTCCATAAAACCCTGTGTTAAAGAATAGGAACAACTGGAAATCGAATAAACCGCCATATCTCAGACCTTGGAAAACACAGTTGGTGCAAAGTAAAAAAAAAAAAATGTAAACATTGCATCATGCTACAAAATGGAGAGGCTATTTGTTAGTAGTACACACAAACCTGCTCCTGACTGACGATGCTGACAGGACCAGGCCTTAAAGAGATAGTTCACCCAAAAATTACTCGCCCTCATTTGGTTTTAAGCCTCTATGGGCTGTATTTTAACAATCTAAATGCGTAACGCACAAATAAAGTGCACTTAGGGCATGTCTGAATCTACTTTTGCAAATTTAAGGAAGGAAAAAATGGTGGAGGTAGCTTCTTTTATATTTATTATATAGACTGTATGTGCCATCGATCCGTCTCTTCTTGTCTTGTTTCTCTGAATTAGCAGGATTTGAACGCGGGTAACATAAGACAGTCCAGTGATGTCATTTCGAACATGTTTAATAACAACTTAACTGAACTATAATACACGGTCAAAAAACTGTCTTGCTTCCATCTTCATGACACTACTTCTTCCTTACCGGAAGTGACATCAGCATATACTTTATATTAAAAATTAAATTACTTTTAGTAAAATATTTTCAAGTTTGCCTTTTACATTATTATCAATTTAACATAAATAAAACAATGAACTTATGGCTCTTATATAGACAATGATAATCTTTTACATTTTAATCCTTTCATTTTTACATATTTAAAGATATTTCTGTTATTCGGTTCATACTTGTGTGTAGAATGTGCCTATCTCTAAAGCGCTCTTTAAATAATAATAATAATAATAATAAAAATAATAGTAAAAAAAAAAAAACGCCATTGACCATAGACCAGCTTTGAGTTGGTCAATGGTGTGGTCTATTTCTGTTGCCTCAAACAGGGGCGGACTGGCCATAGGACATTTCCCAGGGGCCTGATGGCCAATCTGGCCTGTCACTGTGAATCTGGCCTGACCCTATTCTCACCCGCCCACCTTCCCCCACCTTCACTTATACCAATCCTGGGCAAATAAACTTTTTCCAGTCCATGCCTGGCCTTAAAAGAGCAAAGTACCAAACAATGCGCCTTAACACACCTCCTTTTCAGACAAGCATGCTCATGGTTGCACATATTAGTGCACATGTATTTGCTTTTTAAAACACGGCGCAGGTCATGAAAATAATGGACCCTTTCACATTTTTTTGTTTCTCAGTAGTGGAAGTTGTCATAATTGGGAAAACTTAGAGCACAGTGAATGGGAGAGTATAGCAAATTGTTTATTTACATTCCTATTTGCTGAAAAAATAAAAGAAAAACTCAAAGATGGTGCTATCAAAACTTTCAAAACAAGGGAAAAAAAATTGTGAGTGATGATGAGAGCCAGCGTCAAATTCACTGTCCTGTCCATAGACACCTCGCGTTTTGGACACAAAAGAAGATTTTTTTTGAAGAATGCTAGTTGATGTTCTCCATTGACTTCCATACAACACAAGCTCATTGTGGATACATACCCCCACATTTCTGGAGCACGAATCATGTAGCCAGAGGTATGTATGGCTGCATTTCGTCTTTAAAATGAACGCTACGGGGTGATATGACATTGCTAATAACTTCTGTTTCTTTTAGTGGTACCAGGTGACCACTTACCTCTATATGGACGGCTTTTCTGGTGTTACCAGTGTACTCAGAAGCTCGCCGCATACGCTGATGAACTTGGGATAGGAGGCTTAGTTGACTGCAACGACGGGGTTCGAGTTCGACGAAGAACGGTTCCATAAACCAGGTATGACAAAAGCTAAATAATAAATAAAGAAACAACAGGCTGAAAATGTGGTAAAATCATGCGGCTGTGACTGCTTTTCTTTGACTAGATTGCTTTTGAAAACACTATCGGTTGGGTTTAGGGACAGGGATGGATGGGCCAATCAGTCAGTCATTAGATCACTCAAGTTAGTTGTAAGCAGGCTGGCCTGGTCAGCTGATATGTATAATGTGCCCTCTAGTGGATTTATTCGAAAAAAGGATGTGTGAGAGAAATTTGAGACCATCAAAAATCACACACAGCGCCATCTGGTGGATTTGCAAAAATAAATGCAAGCAGACGTACCTGCAGTTACGTATTTCGCTGACCCCAAAAATGTAGACCTGGGTATGTATCCACAATGAGTCTTGGTTGTGCTGATGACTGTTAATTGTGTCAATACAGTTTTGTGTAAAAGGTCAATACCTGTGCCAGGCTGAAAATAGCCAAAAACACATATTGCAGCAGGTTTTCAGATAAGGCCCTTTAAGTTTTTTCTTCTGTTGGACACAAAAAGTATTTTGAAGAATGCTGATTGATGGTACCCATTGATTTCCATACAACACAGGCTCATTGTCGATATGTACCTATCTCTATATTTCTGGAGAGCGTGAATTAGCCAGAGGTACGTTTGGCAGCAATTCGTCTTCAAGATGAATGCTATGGGATGGTATGGTGCTGTCAACAGCTTCTGTTTATTTTAGCACTAGCAGCTGACCTCTGTATGGACGGCTTTTCTAGTGCTACCCCATACGCCCAGTATATGCTGATGGACTTGGGATGCGAGGCTTAGTTGACTGCAATGACAGGGTTCGAGTTCAGTGAAGATTAGTTTCATAAACCAGATAAGACAAAATCTAAATAATAAATAAAGAAACAACTGGCTGAAATGTGATTCAGTCACGTGGCTGCGACTGCTTTTCTTTCTCTAGATTGCTTTTGAAAACAATCGGTTGGGTTTAGGGACGGGGGTGGTTGGGTCAGTCGGTCAGTCAATCGATAAGTCAGTCAAAAGAAAGCTGACCTGGTTGGCTGAAGTGTATATTGCGCCCTCTAGTAGATTTATGTGAGAAGAGCATGCGTGAAAGAAATTTGAGACTATCAAAAAGCATACACAGTGCCATCTGTTGGATTTGCAAAAGCAAAAAATGCAAGCAGATCTACCTTCAGTGACGTATTTTGCTGTCCCCAGAAATGTAGACCTGGATAGATATTCATAATGAGCCTGGGTTGCTTCATAGTATGAAAAAAAATGGCCATTGATGTATCATCAACCAACATTCGTCAAAATAACTTCCTTAAGTAAATGTTAGCGATTTCATTTTTGCGTGAACTATCCCTTTAAGTACCCTCCCATGTTGTCATGACGATACCATACATGTATATCCTTTCGATGCGTTTATGGCAGGCAGTTGACATGCACCCCCATGTTTCATTAAGACGCGTCTTAGTCTGTAAGCGTTACGAAAGCACTGAACATTGAAATACATTGGTAATCAGTTATTCCAAAAAGAGAATTGTGCTACACCAGAGTAAAATTCACTTCAACGTTACAAAAATGTGTAGAAAACGTGCAGCGCGCAAGAAAGAGAGAGAAAGAGAGAGAGAGTGGGTGAAAGGGGCGGGGACACACTTTGACTGACACCGAGTCCCTTCCTCCACCCTCCTTTAAACAGCGCAAAGTGTGTAATTTACTCCCAACTACTTGGCCCCTAGTTAGCTCATATAATTATCCACCTCATACCAATCAAATCCATTAACCTATCATGACTGATTTCCCGGCGGGATTCTTCCTCCTCAGTCGTGGCAGGTGGTCTGGGGCAGCTCATTGGCCAGAATGTGCCAGCGCTCCACCCTTTGACCCTTGTTCCTCAGGCAGTCCATCCAGTGGCGAAGGGCATCTCCCTGGACGTGACAGCTCAGGCACACGCCACCTGCCAATCAACAGGGGGATTTTGTGTTAATCGTGGCTGTGTTTGTCATGGCAAATTATCTCCTCAGTTATCAATAAATGAGTCGAGTCAAGGAGCTGCCAGATACTTTATTGCTGGAGCAGTAAAGAGACATCAACTCCAGTCTTTCTGAGTCTGCCTTCTGCTCTCAAACTACATGTCTTATACCATTTTCAATTCTCTATTGATTCTCTAGCATTATTTCCTAAGTTGTTTGTGTGTGTGCATGTGTGGAAAATCTCTCCCTTCAGTTTGTGTTTAACAATCTTATGCATATAATTTCATATACAGTCATTATACAATTCATATACAATAAACTCTAAATTATTGGGCCTCCTGTAAAATTTGATATATTTATGTATTTCCCTAGTAAGGATTAACACATTAGACAATAGTTTGTAATGACTAATTCTTTTGTTTTTGCCATGATGACAGTATATACTCTTTAACTAGTTACTTTACAAGATACTAGTCTTCAGCTTGAAGTCATTGAACAGCAGTGGTTTATTCTGTAGCCAATTGAATAAAAGGATTGAATAATAAAAATAATATTGGCTATTAGTTACATTTTTTAACTGCTTTTATTCTAGACAAACAAGCAGGAAAAAAAGATTTTCTTTAGAAGAAAAATAAACATTGGAAATTGTTATAAATTTCTAAAATTTATATATATATATACACTCACCGGCCACTTTATTAGGTACACCTGTCCAACTGCATGTTAACGCACATTTCTAATTAGCCAATCACATGGCAGCAACTCAATGCATTTAGGCATGTAGACAAGGTCAAGGTGATCTTCTGCAGTTAAAACCGAGCATCAGAATAAAGAAGAAAGGTTATTTAAGTGACTTTGATGGTTGTTGGTGCCAGATGGTCTGGTCTGAGTATTTCAGAAACTGCTATTCCACTGGAATTTTCATGCACAACCATCTCTAGGGTTTAGAGAGAATGGTCCAGAAGAGAAAATATCCATTGAGAGGCAGTTCTGTGGAAGCAGAGGCCTTGTTGATATCAGAGGTCAGATGAGAATAGCCAGACTTTTTTCAGCTGATAGAAAGGCAACAGTAACACAAATAGACACCCGTTACAACGGAGGTATGCAGAAGAGCATCTCTGAACACACAACATGTCCAACCTTGAGGCGGATGGGCTACAGCAGCAGAAGACCACACCGGGTGAATAGGAAACTGAGGCTAAAATTCACACAGGCTCACCAAAATTAAACAATAGAAGATTGGAAATACATTGCCTGGTCTAATGAGTCTCGATTTCTGCTGCAACATTCAGATAGTAGGGTCAGAATTTGGCGTCAACAACATCAAAGAATGGATCCATCCTGCCTTTTATCAACGAATCAGACTGGTGGTGGTGGTGTAATGGTGTGGGGAATATTTTCTTGGCACAATTTGAACCCATTAGTACCAATTGAGCATTGTGTCAACGCAACAGCCTACCTGAGTATTGTTGCTAACCATGTCCATCCCTTTATGACCATAATGTACCCATCTTCTGATGGCTACTTCCAGCAGGTGAGCAGGTTATGTCAAAGCGTGAATCATCTCAGACTGGTTTCTTGAACATGACAATGAGTTTACTTTACTCAAATGGCCTCCACAGTCACCAGATCTCAATCCAATAGAGCACCTTTGGGATGTGGTGGAACGGAAGATTCACATCATGGATGTGCAGCCGACACATCTGCAGCAACTGTGTGATGCTATTATGGACCAAAACCTCTGAGGAATATTTCCAGTATCTTGTTGAATCTATGACAGGAAAGATTAAGGCAGTTTTGAAGGCAAAAGTGGGTCTAACCCGGTACTAGTAAGGTGTGCATAATAAAGTGGCCAGTGAGTGTATATGTTTTAAATTGTTCTCTTCCCCCCCCCACTTTTCAGCAACATAAATAACATTACTTGATTCACAATGCATGCATGTGACCTAGATATGACTGTCCAAATGTGCATGACAGAAGGCATCTTAGATCAGGCTTAAAGGGACAGTTTACCCAAAAATGGAAATTGTCATAATTTACTCATCCTCCACTTGTTTTAAAACACCAAGAAAAAAAACACATCACTGAATTCCATAATATTTTCCTTTGTTCCTACTATGGAAGTCAATGGCTGCTTTCCGTAACATTCTTCAGAATATCTTGTTTTGTAATCACGAAGGAAGAAATTCATAATTGTGTGAGTAAAAAGTGAGATAATTTTCATTTTTTGGCCGAACTGAATCTCTTTAACCAAAGAAATCCATACAATTTACAATTTTAACTGATCCAGGTTTAATTATTAATGTTATATAGTATAAAATCAAAATAATAGTGTTTTGATTACCATGTAGTGTACTGAATACTGCCTACTGCAGCTAAAAATAGTTTTATAACACAACATTATGCAGCCATTACCACTTCAGCTGTGCATTTAGGTCTGAAAGTATAACCAGTGATTATTTGCATCATCATTTCTTTTGTGCAGTGCACCACATGAGTAATCAAATGGTTTTAGTATATGTATAAAAGTTGCCACTATTATGCAACAGTTCATAATTTATTTTTGGAGGTCTCCTATAAAAATTTACATCCATGACAGGTCAAATGAACTCTACAAATTCTATGTGAGACTTTTTTCTCTCTCTGATGATAGTTTAAGTAAGGCTTACATTTAAATGTGACTTATGATCACCAGCAGTGTTGCTCTTACAGGTTGCTGGAGAACACTTTCTGTCATTCTACCGAACTACAAATCCCATAATGCCCTTCAGTCACACACCTGTTTCAGGTAACATCTTGATTTCACACACACAGCTGAAGCTGATCAGGACTGAATACTTGGACTATATACACACACCTCTCGCATACTTTAATTATTAACAAAATGTATTATTTTGCAGTGGATTTTGATACAGATGAGGACAATTTGGTTTTGGTTTAGTAACATAAGTAAAGACGTACTGATGGTTTCCTGACTTAATTTTTCCCGGTAGTACACTCTGGCAAAAAAGATGATACGTATATAATTAAAAATGCTCCAACTATTTTAAAAGCCTACATCTGAGCACATTTCTTTCTGCTTCTGAGTTGTCTTTCAGTGACAATGAAGGTCCAGTAGAACTCTACTGAACCACTGCTGTATGTCACCGCTGAGGGCAGTGTAAAAATCTCAATCTCTCCCTCTTTTTGAGCAGCAAAAGCACAATACCAAACATCTTGTTTTACTCCTTGATGTCCGATACATTTAAGAAGTGTGTTTTCTTTGAGCCGGCAAAACTAAATGTTCAGATTAAATATTGTATGTAACTGCTTGTATTTAATGGACAATTTGTATACAAAGTAATATTAATAATTGAGGATGTTGTGAATAGTCAACGCACTGTGATTTATTATTGTAGTATTTAACAATCGATGACATCATAATCATAATCAAATTGAATCACGAGACCTGTGTGTGTTCACACCAATATGTGGTGAGAAGGCAGCTAAATATGAACTCGCACACACCCTTTTTACTAGTTACCAGGGGTCTGATTTATAAAATTTGCATTAAAAACCTTCCTAAAAGTAAATGTACTAGAATAAAGTTTAATGTATGCTCTCATATAATGACTTAAAGTAGTTCAAGTCAATATGTCAGTTAAATATGTTACAAGTTTACTTACAGTTGTGCACATTCTCCCATTAAATTTCAAGAGTTTACACTTAGCTGATGATTGATTATGAAGCTTGTTTGGCATGAGCTCATAAGATCCTCGAGCCCAGGGCTGCCTCCCGTTTGCAAGATGAGAGGGGAGTTTGAGCTCAGGTAGATCTCGAGAACTCCCCTGCTGTAATAGCTAATGAACAGATAGTGATTGCTCTTTAGAGATAACTTACTAGGAGCATGTCTATGGTGCCAATTTGGATTAGTCAATTAACTTAAGTTTCATGTTTTTGGACGGTGAGAAGAAACCATGGAACCTGGGGGACACCCACGTGAGCATGGGGAGAATGTGTAAACTTTGCGCAGAAATGTTGACTGACTTGGTAAGGATTTGAACCAGTGACGTTCTTACTGTGAGGCAACAGTGATAACCACTGTGCCACCCATCCAGGAAAGGAGGAGGATTAGGGGTGCAAGGGGGATTCTACAAAACGGAGATGGCTGTCATATGGAACTTAGGGTATTTATATTGGCTTATAGGAATTGTCTGATTGGTGAATAATAAATTGAATAATGCAGGGCTGGCTGCAAGAAATAATAAGCACCTGATCCTCTCCAAATTAGTTTAGAAATAAACTTCACGTATTTATTGTAGATCACCTTTTTTACTTTTTATTTTTTAGAGTTTTGCGTGAGAAGTGGAGTACGCACATTTCTGCCCATGTTTTGAGTACTCCACGTTTATAAACACTTTTGAGACAGTTTTGCAGTTACTTTAAAAAGTAGTGCATTACAATATCGAGTTACTCCCCAAAAAAGTAACTAGTTGAGTTACTTAGTTACTTTTTAAGGAAAGCAATGCGTTTTACTTTTGAGTTACTTTTCTAACTAGCTGAGGCTACTTTTAAAAAGTAACAAATATTATCACTTCATTATTTTAAGTAATGCAATACTTTACTGGTTACTTAAAAAAGAAATATTATTACATAATATTATTTCCCCCAACACTGTTAATAAATGAGACCCCAGTTCAATTGAGGAAAAAAAATCCACTATAGACATTTCCCTTGAGTGTGCCTAATTGGTCTAAAAGGTATGTTGTGACAGCCACTTATAAAGTGTGTGACAGAAACAAAATGTCCATTTCCATATCTGATTTTCTGCTCCAAAGACTTCCTTAGCACTTGAACATGTCATAATTGAAACGGTAATGATCTGTTTTACCATATCAATTAGGCATGAATCCTAATCCTTTAGAAGTGCATGCTAAGTAGATTTGCGATTGCAGCAACATCTGTTGAAAAACACAAATCAAACTCTTACAGGCTTCAGCTACAACTATAGTGTTTGAGGGTCGAAGTAGACATTTTTTTCACAAGCAGCCAGTGAAGACCATAGGGATTTTGCGCTGATTTGTAACCAACGTAGGTTTGTGCTGGAGGTAAGACTGAAATTACAGACAACAGTCAGGCAGTTAAGAAAATGTCAATTCTTTGGAAAGACAATAACTAATACTTTAGAAATCAATCAATCTAAAGTTGGATATTTATAGTGCTCAGCATAACTACAAACAAATATTTTAATCCATTTAGTCAGTGACTATAGATAATATTTACAGTTGAAATTAGAATTATTAGCCCCCCTGAATTATTAGCCCCCCCTGAATTATTAGCCCCTCTGTTCATATTTTTCCTTCCAAATTTCTCTTTAATAAAGACATTTTTTCAACACATTTTATAAATATAATAGTTTTAATAACTAATTTCTAATAACTGTTTTCTTTGTCATCTTTGCCATGATGACAGTAAATAATATTTTACTAGATATTTTTTGGCAGGTTAGGTTAATTAGGTAAGTTACTGTATGAAAATGGTTTGTTCTGTAGACTATGGGGAAAAAGAGCTTAAAGGGGCTAATAATTTTGACCTTATAATGGTTCATAAACAATTAAAAACTGCTTTTATTCTAGTCGAAATACAATAAATAAGACTTTCTGTAGAAGAAAAAATATTATCAGACATACTGTGAAAATTTCCTTGCTGTGTTAAACATCATTTGGGAAATATTTAAAAAAGGGAAAAAAAAAATTTAAACTGGGGCTAATCATTCTGACTTCAAGTGTATGATGCTTTTAAAACATAACAGATTTATGAAACAAATATATTTATTTAAACAACATTTTAGGCACTGAACATCTTTAGAAATAGAGTACATTTACAGTATTCAAAAAACTAATTACAAACATCAACATTTAAACAAAATTTAATAAATTTTTTGCTTCTCTTTAATTTTTCACTTTTAATTTTTCACTTTCGCCAATTGGTGAAGTTTTGTCCTCGCCGCTGTTGCCACTGGCTTGCATGGTTTGGGATCTGTAGAGCTGCGCATTGATGGATTTGCACTTCAGTGTTTGAACTCTCAATAGTGATTATTAACCACACTGAACTGAGCTAAACTGAACTGAACTAAACACTGAAAACTGAAATACACTGTTTCAATTTACTATGATCTTCGATGTGAAGCTGCTCTGACACAATTTACTTTGTAAAAGCGCTATACAAATAAAGGTGACATGAATTGAATTCTTTTGATTTTTTTTTCTTTTTAAAATTTGTATTTAATATATATTTTCAATAAGTTATAAATTTGGGTGTACTAATTTTTGGACCGTTATTGTGAGTTATTTTGTTAGATCCAGATTTGAATTCAGTACTGACTAAACTAATCTATATCCACAATTATAATATTGTATAGCATCCAATAGAAAATATTAATTTAAAAAATAGATTTTTGAGGGGTGTACTCATATGGTGAGTACTGTTTATTTATACAATTTATTACTAATAGTATACAATTAATAATAAATTTAGTTGCAATTCAGTAGTTTGCAATTTAATAGTACAATATGTAACTCTGGAGCTTATGTTGCATGGGCATATTTTTGGCAACGATCAAAAATACATTGTATGGGTCAGAATTATATATTATATTATTATATAATATTATATACAGTACACTACTCACAAATCTATCTTTTAAATTCATATAAAATAAAAAAATTGAATCAAGAGAGGCCAAAAAATAAATAAAAATTTGATAAAATTTTGAAGGTTGTAATTTCTTTTTTTTAATATTTTGCTTGAATTTAATTGTATTATCTTTATGTTCTAAATATGTTTGGGGAGTAAAATATTATTTGAATAAATATATGTTTAATAAACTGTTTTGTTTAAATGCGGCAAAATACTGTACACCTACAGTATATTCACTGAGAAATGGATAAAATGTTCATTTTCAAAATGGGGTGTCCTTAATTATGCTGAGGTCTGTATATATTATTATATTATAAGTTATTAAAATAATATTATTACTAGTAAATTTTCTACTGTAAATGTATTGAAACTTAATTTTTGGATTAGCAATGTGCATTGTTAAGCTCTACATTTCAATAACTGAGTTAAAAGTAATTAAATCAATAATTTTTTCTCAGATTTCAACATCAGTTCTCTCAAGATTGTTTTTGCATAAAAAACATTTTGAAACAACAAAGTTCTTAGGGTTTATTGGGGACAACCTAATTGTTTTATGTTCAACCCCCTTAAATTTGTAAAAACAATTGTGTTTTGTGACAACATAGGCCTTGTTCATATGTGGAAATTTATCCGATATGAATCTAATCCGTGCCCTCATGTCTGCAGCGCAAGCAGGTAGATTGGATGTTCACCTGTCAATGTGAGTCGCGCTTGATTAAAAACTATAACAAATGACGTCAACTCTGATGCTTTCATTTCAGAACAGACTTCAGCAGAGTCCCAAAGCTTAAATCTCATACACAAGGATTAAAAAAAGTGTTTATATTGTCATAGAGCACAAGTATTTAAGCATGATAATGAGAGAGAGAGAGAGAGAGAGAGAGAGAGAGAGAGAGAGCACAGTATACCAATATAGATCAATATATAACCAATGTAAACAAAACTATTGCATACACCACGTGCATAAATCACACCATGGACATTACATTAAGATGCCTACTGGTTTAAAAAGGTCTAGATTAAAAGAAGATGGCCAAATGAGAGCGTTTCTGTCATAAACTATAGGAAAACATCTTGTCAAAAACTTTTTAAAAAATGAGACCCTGCAAACAGATTAAATACAGGAATGGAGAAAAGAGCGGTCTTTTATTATCAGCTGTCAGTCAGCACTTGCTATTTTTTCTTTGTCATTGCACCTTTGCTGTGTACTGTGTAAGTGCAGACAATCAGATACGAGTAACTTTTAAAAGATGATGTTAGCCGGTCATCAGAAAAAAAAAAACGGGAACAGTCACAAAATCGGAATCAACCATCAAGATCTGCAGTGTAAATGCAGCCATAAAGGAGTTGTGTGAAACCCAGCATTTTTACAGTGTAACTTTGTGGTCCAGGGTCACAAATGTTTTGTTTTACATTACAATAAATTGTCCTTGAGGTTAAAACAATTGGAGTTGTTTTAATGTTGTTTTAATGTACCCCACAGTCCGAAGACATGCGGTACAGGTGAATTGGGTAGGCTAAATTGTCCGTAGTGTATGAGTGTGTGTGTGAATGTTTCCCAGGCGGTTCATTCCGCTGTGGCGACTCTGGATTAATAAAGGGACTAAGCCGACAAGAAAATGAATGAATGAATGAATGAATTAAAATAATTGTTCATTGCATTAAAAAAAATAAATGTCAGCCTATCAGTATTGGCCCAAATTTTCACATTGTTGCATCAGTCTCCTCATCAGACAATAATTGCGTGCACTCACCTATGAAATCGTTAGATCTTCCCAGATCATAGTCCCATACTGTGACCTCCAGCGTCTTATGAACCAGCTCAGATAGAGAGATCTCATAGAAAAACTCCTGTTGGTGGTAAAATACAACATGGATTATCTCAGCAGTTCAACAGATTCATTATAGCATCAGGTAGATTGAAAGGCGACGCCTTCAGTTCTCATTTTATCAAGCAAAATGTTATGAAATGCCACTTTTGATCTCCCCCTAATTCATTTCAAAGACATTTTTAAACAGAGAAGGATTTCAATAGCATCGTTTTGACAGCTCAGAAGCCACCTGGGGAATGATCAAAATACTGAACCCCATGAAAACTGTAGAGAAACAAATGGGATTTTATAACTCTGCCAAACAGATGTTCCCATCTGGGGTCTCACACCCACTGCCTGAAGCCTGCCATGTGCCTGAATTTAACAAAAATAAACATTTAGACAATAGAAAGTAGCTGTGTTTCCATCTAAAACTGGAATACCACATAAAACATTTGGGAATAAAGCACTGTTTTGTCCAATGAGTCAGAGAGAACAAAATAGTCACTTCCTGATAAATTGGCACCAAATATCTGAGGTAAATGTAATTTCTTGCAGTAGGAGAAGACACTGTGGGCTTTTTTTCTTATATAATAAATTACTTGTCCCTCAAAAGGTGAAATGCAATGAACACACAGTGAATATTGGAGGTGAAAGACACTCTTCAGAAGCAAAGATGCTCAACACAATTCTGGAGGACTGAACCACTGTGATGACAGACTTTGGCTGAGGGGTTTTAGAATGACCAAACAGCATCATTCATTCATTTTCCTTCAGCTTAGTTCCTTATTTATCAGGGGTCGCCACAGCGGAATGAACCGCCAACTATTACAGCTTATGTTTGCCCTTCCAGCCGCAAACCAGTACTGGGAAACACCCATACACTCTCGCATTCATACACACATTAAATAGGCCTATTTATATGTTACTACTAGTAGGCTCAGAAGGCTGTTATCATCCGCCCACATGGTTAATCAGCTATAGAACACATAAGGCTGGGGCCTGAAGTTAACGAGAATTATTTTTATTACTTATTAAATCTCCCATTAACTGTGTTTTATTAAGGTCCACCCCAACCGTAAACTCAACCGTCACACTATTGTAAAAACAAATCTGCATCTGGAGTCTTCTCGATTAGTATGGCTGATTAACCATGTGGATATATGATAACAGCCTTCTGAGCCTACTAGTAGGCGCAGAAGGCCCTTACTGACCCAAATATCAACTGATAACCACTAATAACGCTCCATATCGAGTGATAACATTCAAAGCGGGTGCACTCACACACTATGGCCCATTTTATTTTATTCAATCCCCCTATAGCGTATGTCTTTGGACTGTGGGGGAAACCGGAGCACCAGGAGGAAACAGACAGTGCTAACCACTAAGCCACCATGCCGCCAACCAAAACAACATTTCAGATGTTTTAAATTGTAATCTGTCAACTGGTTTGCCTATTAATTACACTTTTTTAGCTGTGCATGCTACAATTAATTCAATAAATATGTTTCCATTGTATGGCGTCACGGGGGCTCAGTGGGTAGTATGTTAGCCTCACAGCAAGAAGATTGCTGGTTTAAGCCCCAGTTGGGTCAGTTGGCATTGCTGTGTGGCGTTTGCATGTTCTCCCTGTGTCGGCACAGGTTTCCTCGGGGTGCTCTGGTTTCCTCCACAGTCCAAAGACATTTGCTATAGGGGAATTAAATAAGCTAAATTGGCCGTAGTGTATGTGTGAATGTATGGGTGTTTCCCAGTTTTGTGTTGTGGCTCAAAGGGCATCCACTGTTTAAAACCTATGCTCGCTAAGTTGGCGGTTCGTTTCACTGTGGCAGAAATGTATAAAATACACATAATGGGAAATGTATTAAATAGTATAAATAATTCTCGTTAACTTCCAGGTGAAGCCATATGCGATCTATAGCTGATTAACCATGTGAATGGATAACAACCTTCTGAGCCTACTAGTAGTAACATTTGGCTGGTGAGTGTGTGTGTATGAATGCGAGAGTGTATGTGTGTTTCCCAGTACTGGGTTGCAGCTGGATAGGCATTCGCTGTGTGAAACATATGCTGGAATAGTTGGCAGTTCATTCCGCTGTGGGGACCCCTGATTAATAAAGGGACTAAGCCGAAAATATAATGAATAAAGGAATGTTGTCATTGTAGTTTATGCAAATTTTTTCTTATCACATAAGAAGATTATCCTACTCAGTTGTGCACATATGTGATTTGTATGTACAATTTCAAGATGTAAGCACATCTTGTCATTTCCGTCAAGCATTTTCTTTATCTTACATTCCAAATGTGCATAAAAATAGATGGATAGCTAGTGATGCATTCTAAATAGAGGCTGCCAGGTTAAATCATGCCGGGATCAAACCACCTGGACCTCCCCCTTCTGACCTCCCTTCTCTCCCCGGAGCTGAAAACAGCCACACATGTTCATGCCAGTTCATAAAACAGAAACTGGAGCAATTTCTAAATATAATACACAGAGGAGCGCTGCAGCTTCTGCCTCTTGTTCCTTCCAGGAATTTCCAGCACCCTCACGAACAGCTTTGATATGATGTGATATCACGGTTTCGCTGAGAGGGCTCCCGTGGAGCAGGGGGCAAACCTGCTTTTAAGCAGATAGCGGTGTGTGAGATTGGAACGAGCAGACTTCAATCTGAGCCAAGCAGTAATTATACCACCAGTCTGGGTGTGTATTACTTCTGAGTGAATGGAAACAAAACACTTAGCCTTTCTGGTGATCGCCTGCCGCCCACATGACAGAGCAAGCGTGAGACAGACGGGAAGGAGGAGAGAGAGAGAGAAAAAAGCAACAGAGTGTCCAAATAAAACAGGGATGTGATGCTAATGAAACATGGTGATGAAAGATACAAGAGAGTTTGGGAAGTTGACAAATAGGCAATAAAGATGTTTTTGTTTTGAAATCTGATGTTTGAGGAAATATAAGTGGTCACTGATTTGATCAATTCTTCACTGTTTTTTTGTAATGTAAAAATGTCCTATGGTGTGACATAGCAAACACTAAGAAAAACAACTCTTAAAGGAGACCTATTATGCACAAATCACTTTTATATGCGGTTTAAACCCAGTTGTGTGGCAACAGACTGTGAATATAAGCAGCTTCTAATAGTAAAAATGTATTCATTTTTTTTTAATAGCACTTGATAAAAACAGTCTGTGTAAACACTTTGATTGACATTCTCACTTTGTACGTGTCATCAGACGGGGAAAGCCCTGCACATTAGTGGTGATTCTTCCTTCATTAGTATAGGATGTTAGTCTCGTTTTTGAAGCTGCCACTATGCTGACACACAGGCATTTGTAGCTCTGGCCTATTTTAAAAAGAGCCCAATCTCATTTGAATTCAACAGGAGTCACTAAAATGGCACAATTTGGATCAAAGCCTAAAATAGGCAGCTTCAAAGAGTTTAAAACATTAATTGTGGCGTATTTTGATCTGAAAATTCACATGCACACTCTAGGAACAGAGACTTATTTTACATCTCATAAAAAGGTGCATAATAGGTCCCTTTTAATAATAAACAAATAGCATTAGAGCAATTTATCCCATCTTCATGTAACCCAGGTAAAATAAACATTACTGTGACTAAATGCTAATTGAATTGAATAAATGTCAAACATTGGATCTGATTTATTTTATTAGTTTTTTTTTTATTGTTTGCTTTTTTAATGAAGTTGCATAAATTTTGCAATGTTTAGGTAAAATGAAAAACAAAAATGTGATTTTCTTATGTCTATCTAACTTGATGTTTTAACCTGAGACCCGCTCAGAATCTGATTGGCTAAGGCAGCGCAATCTCACGAAAATTCGTAACTTTTTGATTTAGTGGCTAATTCGTATGAATTCGAACGATCTTATTCGTACAATTTAGTACGATTTGCTCATCAAGGACGGTTGGGGTTAGGGGTCGGGTTGGATGCCACGCCTCCTTTTTAAAATCGTAAATGTTTGTATGACTGAACTCGTACAAATTTGTACGAATTAGCCACTACACTGACAAAACGTAAAATACTTACATTTCCTCATGAGATCAAGCTGGCTCAGGGAACAGAATTACCTTTGAACGAACACTGTTATACTGAAAATAGGAAACATACTGAAAAGAGGAAACTATTTGTCTGTGACTGTTCAATATTAGGGGAAGGTTGGTGAACATTTTGCCCTTTATAAGCGTAATTGAGTGGTTCTCATTTTGTTTCGGGTGTAAAATTATAGATATTCTGTTTCATTAATTTTTGATATTTCAGAGACTAATTGTATCACTATAAAGTGAGCTTTGTATGTTGAAATAAAATTAAGACACAGTCATATGTTTTGAAGAAATGTACTTTTTATTTTTATTGTTTTTTGTATTGTTAGAACTGGTGGGTTTGATTTATTATTTATTTATTTTTATCCCATTTTATTTGTTTATTTTATGTTTAGTTAAACAATATGTAACAATTGGCTTAAAGGTGAATTAAAGGATCTGTTAATTAACTTTCAATCTTGTCATTTGTCTAATTGTCATTTCAGAGAGTTATTCTAGAAGCCCAGAGCCCTCTTCCTTTGGCAAGTGAAGAGTGTGCTACAATCATATAGTACTGTTTATATTATATGAAATTATGAATTGTATATTTTTTTGTTAAAAAAGTTTCATAAATAGGGGTGTTATACTAAAGGACAACAAAACTTATTTTATAGTGGTTCCAAAAAAGTTAAAAAATGCTTGGTAACACTTTATTTTGATGGTCCATTTGAGTATTAGTAGACTGTCTGCTTAATATCTGTTGATACTGCTCCTTCAACAGACATTTAACTGACTATAAAAAACTTTGCAAGTACATGTCAACTTACACTAACCCCAACCTAACAGTCTACTTATAATCTAATGAGAATTAGTTGGCATGTAGATGTAATGTAACTTAAATTCAACAAACAGACCATCAAAATAAAGTGTGACCAACAATTCTGAGAGAAAAGCTTCAATCAAACGATCATGAGTGGGGTCCTTCAACTTAGTAAATATTTCTGTAGAATTGCCTGAATTAAAATGGGCATGTATATATATATAATGTCACACTAGAGGACACTAGACATGGTTTACACTGACACAGTGTAACAAGCTTGTATGTTTTTAGAAATATATGGATGGAAAAACATTGCTATTTACTAAAATAGCCACTTGTAAAATTAGACATCAGCAGTGGTGGAGTATGTCTGAAAATCATACTCGAATAAAAGTACCATTGCTTGCCCAAAAAATGTAGCGCAAGTAGAGTAAAAGTATTTGTTGTAAATGTTAATCAAGGTATTACACTGTGAAAGGTTGAAGCATGCAATTTGTGCAGGGATGTGTAAACGTAACATTCTGTAGTGCATCTGTAGTGATTGTTTAGGCCTTTTGGCAATTTAAGACATTATACAGTCGACATCCTTCATTTTCTCATCAGTGACATGCAGTCTTTAAACAGTCTCTCGATCAGTGCATGTAAATATTTTAGATCATCTTGGACACTTAATGTTTTCAAACAATTTGTTGCATTGATAAAGCGCCGATGTCATGACATAGTTCAGTATGATGCGATTTGTTTTCTATGTGTGATTTGATTAGACAAGAATCACAGGACTGATTTTTTACTCAGCCAATCCCTGTAGACAAGAAAAAAGGTAAATAGGGACTGCATGGAAAAGGAAAATAGTGAAGTAAAAGAACTGATACTACACTAAAAATGCATTCAAGGGAAAGTAAAAGTTCACATTTTTAAAATGAATTAGTAAATTACAAATTCTGAGGAAAACTACTCAATTACAGTAATTTGAGTGTTTGTAATTTATTAAAAGATGTCTAATTGACGTCTAAACATAGTCGTCTTTGCTAAAACAAGGCTAAATGTTGGCTGCCAGTGAAAATCTAACTATGAATCAGCCAAAGCTAGACTAGTCATCAAATAAACCGAAATGATTGACTACCCATATGAAGTCCGTCTAATTGACGACTAGTCTAGTTCTGGGCTATTTTCAGATGTCAACTATATTTTCACTTTTTAGCCCAAGTTTAGCCTTGTTTTAGCCAAGCTGTCTACATTAAGATGTCTATTAGACATCTATTAAGTGAATTTTATTCATAAACCAGTTTGGAGAGGATCACGTGCTTATGATTGCTTGCAGCCGGCCCTGCATTATTCAATCGATGATTCACCAATCAGACGATTCCTAAGCCACTGTAAATAGCCTAAGTTCCATATAACAGCCATCTTCATTTTGAAAAATCTCCCCTTCCACCCCTATTTCCCCTCCTTTCCTAGATGGGTGGCACCGTGGCCCAGTGGTTAGCACTGTTGCCTTAGAGCAAGAGCTCACTGGTTCTAGTCCTTACCAAGCCAGCCGACATTTCTGTGCGAAGTTTACATGTTCTCCCCGTGCTCATGGTGGTTTTCACCGTGTTCTCCGGTTTTCTCCCACCGTCCAAAAACATGCAACTTAAGTTAATTGACTAATCCAAATCGGCACCATAGACATGCTCCTGGTAGTTATCTCTTAAGAGCAATCACTATCTGTTCATTAGCTGTTCAACAGCAAGGGAGTTTTCGAGGTCTACCTGAGCTCAAACTCCCCTCTCGCTTGCAAACGGGAGGGAGCCGCAGACTCAAGGATTTTATGAGCTCAGGGCTCTCTCCTGGGACAGCATGCCAAACAATCTTTATAATCAATTTTAACAGCTAAGTGTGAACTCTTGAAACAAAATTGGTTGCTGGGGAGATATTAATTAATGATTTTCTTTTTAATTTATTAGAACTGTAATTTATTGACTATAGGACCGTTTTGAGGTATGGCTCAAAGATTTACAGTAGTATTTATAACAAAAGCTGCACTGAAGACAAAGAAAAAAGTTAAACCAATTACTGCATTTTAAATGACAATGCTAATTCTATTCATTTTCATCATGTGCCACTGTTGAAAATCCAACGTCACCTCAACAACCCATACGTCTTTTGGGAATGTGAATGATGTGAAGTGTGCGCAGATGTAGGAGCAGACATCTCATTAACACTCAAAGCGCCTGACACACACATGCGCAGGAGCACTGAAACGAGCGTGCCAAAACTCCCTGCCAGCTTCTTCAAACACATCCATACCTCGTTGAATTCTGGGTTGAGGGTCTTTTTAATCACTGACGTTTTGTGTTTGGATTTCTTCTTCACATCTGGCTTCAGGTATCTGGAAAGAGAACGGCAGATAGCAGAACAAAGTGAGAAGGGCAGGAGATTCAAACAAGCACACGCATACGAAACCGACTCCGGACACGTTTGCGCGGAGCTGTTTGCGTTTCGGCTTTTCTCCTGGTGACGTCCCACTGGCCTCCATAAAAATTTGATTTGCTTTATGTACTGCTGTTAACTCTCAGCCACCCTCCCCCCAAGACACACAGTTCGAATATGGCTTTGATCCTGAGGAAAAGAGAGAATGTGTATGTGTGTGTTTGCGAAAGAGAGTGAGAGAGAGATACTGGAAGGGATGAGAGCGTGGGTGGGGGTCCTGTCTGTTCTTATGCCATTTTGCCTGGGGAGGAAAAACTGTTTGGGAGCGTTTATTTTAATACATGATGTGAGAAATAATGAGAGATTAAAGGGGGGGCACAAATGAGAGAGTGAGATGCAGAGACACATCAGAGGAAAGACGTAGGACGTAGAGTGTTTTTTTTCTAGCCTTATTATACTATCTCTCTCTCTCTCTCTGTCTCTCTCGCTCTCGTTTTACAGTTTCTCCTACTCGCTGTCCACCTCTGAGATTTGTTAAAGGCATCTTTCTTCCAAACTGTGTGTTCTTTTTTTTTTATCTTTGGCCTTTTTAGTTTGTCTCTTTTTTGTTCTGGCGTCTGTTGCCTCTCTGTATAATGCACCTTACTGTATATTCCACTTTTATGCTTCATTTGCTTGAATGGTGTCTTGCCTTTTTACTTATAACTCATTTGTTTATTCATGTTCTTTTAAGCTTAGTCTCTTTATTAATCTGGGGTCGCCACAGCAGAATGAACCGCCAACTATTGTTGTTTATGTTGCATGGGTATATTTTTGGCGTATGGGTGAAATTAATTGATTCTTCTTTGATGAAAATTATTATAATATTAAGTAAAGATTGTGTTTTGTAATGCTAACCATGGTGGCTCAGTAGTCAACACTGTCGCCTTAGAGCAAAAAGGTCTCTAGTTTGAGTCTCGGCTGGCCCAGGTGGCATTTTAATGTGGAGTTTGCATATTCTCCCCGTGTTTCGTCGGGTGCTCTGGTTTCCCCCACAGTCCAAAGACATGGTATAAGCGAATTGGATGTTTTTTCGCTAGGTTTACAGGGTTGTTTGGCGAAATCTTACATTTTCACATAGGGATCTGAGAAGCCATTTACATCCATGGCAGCCAGATGAGCGCAGCGCAGCACTCCGACACATAATCCCCCTCGCCGGGACTCTCCTTCACCCTCTGCAGGTGGGGGAAGGAACTGCAGCGAAAGCAGCAAACGACCCCTCTCTTCCAAACTCGTCATTTGTTCATTCTCCCACTGTAGGAAAGAAGAAATGAAGGTTAGGTTAGATGTCTGTCTAATTAGCTAAAATGTTCCACTATCTGAAATGTTGTAGTGCTTTTTTATTCTCTGTTCTCCATCTATGTCAATTAACACAATCTACATTGTAAAAGCGCTATAGAAATAAAGATTAATGAAATTTAATTGAATGGGTTAGGTCTAAAAATGTGACACATTTTACTGATGGAAACACCAGCAGTTCCACCAAGGCAGCAAAAGAATAATGTTGAGGTTTTATGTGGGTGTAGTTTTAGGGCTAAAATTATGTGCATGAAAAATGAGGCATTGTTTGGATATGGTTACTTGAGAATCAACACAGTCACTATGGGGTGGAAAGGCAGCTATACATGAATGAATGCATAAGGGGATTTTGCTCCAGGTAGTTAGGAATTCAGTTATAGGAACTATCAGGGCGGTCCCTGGAGAACTGCGGTTTTCCCTCAAGCCATTTTTCTAGTTGCATTTGCAGTCTCCAGGAACTTTGAAGTGACGTAAGCCAGCAGCAATGACATCAAGCTGGGGATTCAGTTAAATCAACAACTGGAAAATGGAAAATAGCATGACTGAAGCTGTGTTTTTGTTGTCTGAAATTTGTGTTTACATTTTGCAACCGACAGATCAAAAAGGCGGGATAGGGGACAACATCTCCTTGACTATAATACTACACATCATCAAGGCGGAGAAAAAAAACAATGCAGCAGACAAAGGTAAAGAATATCCATAAATTAGCAGCTTTTCATATTTTATTTTTTTTTCCAAATTTATTTATGCTTTTGAATTGTATTAAAAGTTTGAAAAAGTGACTTTTATTAACATTTTTTAAGGTTTAAAGTGATTTATCGTCTGGGTTGGTGTTGTAAAATGTTAGAAAAACCTAATAATAGAAAGCCAGCACGTTTTCTGTCTTCCACTGAATGGAACGGAACAGTTTGGTATGCTTGGTACCAAAAAGCAAACCAAACCCTTATCACTTTTTTTAGCACAAGAAAAAGGTACCAAAAGGCAGAGCCAGGTACACAGCTGAACACTATTGGTTTAAAGAGAAACGTCACTAGGGCGTGCACAAGCCAGGAGAATGAAAACAAAGGAAGCGCCATTTTTAAATACACAGCCGAAACATTACACCATAATAATATATAGGGGGCTTAACATTAACACCCGCCAACACGCCAATCGTGGGTAGATCTTAGATGTGGCGGGTTAGACAGACACACCAACTAGCCACTTTGGCTGGTTGAAAATCATTTTTAAATTGCCAGTGCACTAAAGATTAGAATTATAGTTTATGAACATGTGTCAATATGCGAGCAAATGTGACCTTAGAATTGAGAGGCAGCACAAATAACTGTTAAAATAACCGCTCGCATGAGCAAAAGAAAGCAGGCGAATACTGAATGAAAGTATGATCATACGTACGGAGAGACACAGGTGCGCTCCCCTTACCTTGCGCGAAGCGACCGTGCCTGGAAACGCAACTGGTACGACCGGTTCTCTTTGAAACACAGAAAAAAAAGCAATGCTCGCACATCCACTGTCCTACTGCTTTCAAGAGCTCAAGAATTTTTGTAAGCAGCAGCAGTTGCCACTTTCACTTTAATCATTCTTTGAACAGATTATTAATGGACCTAATGTTAACTGTGATCATGCACGTGATCATCCATCATCGCACACAGTATGTTTTTCACCTGCTTTCTTGGTTACAGTTATTTTAATTTTGGTTTAATTGTCATCATTTACTATAACATTAAGGTATAGTTAACTAGTGATCTGGGACTTTTAGCCTGGATGATACTGTGGATAGTTTTAGATACATCAGAATACATCTTTTTTTTGAATGTCAATTTTTAAGAGCATTTTTGTTGAATAAAAAGTGTATGTATATTGCTTTATTTTTCTTGTTTTGACACAATATTTAAAAAGTCTGACGTGGAAATATTTAGTTTTGTGAGTCCAGAGAAGAATTTGGTAAATCCTTGTAGTGTTGAATCCTGAAAAGTCAAGTGAAATAAAACTAATTGCAATGCCACACTATGAAGCCACAAGCCATTTTCTCATGCTCATTTAGCAATTTATGTATATAATATATATTTTCCCAACAACAAAATCATGGCTAGTGAAAATAGCGAATGGCTAGTAATGTTGGGAAACTACTAGCCACAGTGGCTGATGATCAAAAAAGTTAATGTCAAGCCCTGAATATATACATATAATAATAAGCCATGGTCGACCCAAGCTCAAAGAATGAACAATGAATTAGAATGACTGAATTACTTTTTAACAAACTGTTAATGACGTTACATGTGTTGGTAAAGAATACAGATGAGAGGTTTGTACTGACGGTATATGTTTCTTATCATTTATGAACCCAAATAAGGCCTAAATGTATGTTTTGAGTATAGTTTTTGTAATTGGTAAAATTTCAGACTCTGTAAATCTCTGTATGTGTTCTAAAATGTTTTATTTATTTTTTAATTGTATATAATTTCAGACATTACAGTAGGCTATTTTGCATTATCATTGACCTGCAGCTATAATTAAATCCTGCTCATAGAAAGGTTAGTGATTAACATTTATTTATACATATAAGTATTTATGTATATGAACCATTTATTTAGCAAGAAGTGCTTCTCATACGATATGTGAACTTCAAGCGAGAATAACATCGACTGCAACTTTCAAAAGGATACCATTGGTACTATTTGGCAGTGAAGACTGATGAAGGGGACTTGTACCGTATTGTACCACTCAATAGCTGCAATTCCACTGTCGGGCTAGTGCGAGCCAGGGCTTTTTGAGATCGACAGAGCTGGGAAGCGAGCGCTCTTTCGCTGGGTTTCACACATGTACATGCATCTAAACGCGTATGTTTCATGCACAAACACACCTTTTCAACTTGACAAAACTCTCGACAACTGAAAGTTACTGACTGCTGTGTCTTTAATGTGGTGTAAAGATTATTATTGAAACATCAAGGAGGACGCAGCAAAGAAATATCACATATTAAATTAAAACCAGGCTATACTTTATTATTTTATGCAACACCCTTACATTTAAAAGGGAAACATAAGGGCAATCTTAAGCAAAAAAAAAAAAAATCTGTGTTTTATGAAATAGCTGACCAGCTATATGGTTTTCTTTTCCTTTTTTATTTACTTTTTGGTGCATGTACACCTTTGCGATTGGAAAACTAGTGTAACGGTGGACTTGGGCAAACTCCGCCACTCCTTTCAATCCGCCCTGCAGTCCCAGCTGGCCCGCTTTGGCTTAAAGTATACGGCGTGCCAAAAAAAGGCCAGCCGCTGGCCCCGAGGAACCCCCACTTTGGCCCGACCAGGCCCCGAAAGTGAAAGTGGAAAAAACTGGCCATGGCTGACCCTGGCACGCTCGCTATAGGCGCTACAGTGGAAACGCAGCTAGTGAAAATGTGGCATATATGTTTGCTGTGCAGTGTTTTGTATGGGATGCTTTTATCCAAATCTATGAAACACACATCACTAGTAGTTCCTATTGTGCTGGGTTGAATCCTACTTTGAAGTAGAAACAGATTTACTTCCCCAAAAAAATGCAGCTAAAATCATTCAGTTTCTAGAGTACAAACTCACAGCCAATAGTTCTAGGAACTAGAAAGCAATGCACTAAATCCGGCTACTTATATCTCTATCTGTACAATAGAATATAATAGTGTGCATATAATCACAGGGAAAAAGTATTGTAAAAAAGGTTTGCTTTGTGACCAACTCATTTAAATGAATTACTTTGTGACGGATTTTCAATTACTTTGAAAGGATTTTAACAATGACACCCCCTGGGGTAGTGAACAAACAGCTGGAATAGAGAGCTGATTGAGACACACCCTTATATTTAAGTGGCAAATGACTGATTGAAGGAACTTGATTAGACATGTTCTGTTGAAAATAGCAGCGGTTGCTAGGCAGCAAAAGAATAATGTTGAGGTTTTAAGTAGACCTATGTTTAGGTCTATAATGAGATGCATATGAAATGCTGCATCATGCCTTGTTTACAGTAATTTATGCAAGAATCAACACTGTGTCATTGTGTGATGCAGAGGCAGATGTGTGGACCCATTATTACTGTGCAAAAGTCTTTGGTCACCATTGTATTATATTATATTATATTATATTATATTATATTATATTATATTATATTATATTATATTATATTATATTATATTATATTATATTATAGTGTTACAGAAAAGCGAATAATCACAGTTCCAATAAGTTTAGTGTCGGTAAGGTACTAGCTAGTGCCCTAATTTGTATTCAAAAGATTCTCATATTGAGTCATTTGTAAATTCAATAGTGAGCTTAAAGACACACATCCCAAGGTTAAGTCTGGAAATCTTCCTTTGACTTACACTGATTGAATATAAAAGTGAAGCCATTGAAGTGGTGTTATTGTAATCTTTGCTTTCTTACATATATTTGCATACGGACTTTGGATTGGTCTATAATTAATATGATATAATATAATATAATATAATATAATATAATATAATATAATATAATATAATATAATATAATATAATATAATATAATATAATATAATATAATATAATATAATATAATATAATCAGTAAGACGTTTTAAAAGTCAATTCTGCTCACCAAAGCTGCATTTATTGATCAAAAACACAATAAAAAATGATTAAATTGTGAATTACTATTACAATTTTAAATAAAATTAAGATTCATTTACTCTTGTCATTCAATTCTTAATTTTCTTCATAATTGTTCTCCAAACTACATTCAATAAAATACAATTTCCCAGTTTATTTTCTTTATTAAATGCAGCCTTTGTGAGCAAAAAACGCTTATTATAAAACAAACAAATCATACTGATTCCAATTTTTTGACTGGTAGTAGGTAATATTTGCTGCTTGTTTAAATGTCGAGTGAAATTAAATAAGTTTTTTTAGATGTAAGTATCAGTATTTTTTGTTTTTATGATATTTAT